AGCTCCGGCTGAGGTTCTGCTGGGCACCCGCAGGCGCCTGTGTCCCAATAAACCTAAACCTCTTGCTTTTGCAGCCAGTGTTTTGTGTGATTCTCCTTGGACAGGGAAACGGGGTTCTTTCAAAAAATGGGGTGTCTTTCAACTTTATCACATGACCCTAGGTCTGAGGTTCCCAACACCTAGTATATGAATATTCCCATTTTGTTTGCAGATGGAGATTTCCCCCTACCCATCCGTTAAGAAACCAGTACAGACCAAGTCCCTTAACMTGGTGTGGGAAGCCTACAGCACAACGAGGCATTAACAAACCCTTTTCACAAACAGCCATTAAAAAAGCTGTCCCTGGAACGAAACTGTTGGGTTCAAATCCTGATAATCATTTATTAATCCTAAATTGTAGAAATGAGGTGGGTGGATGTTCCGACATCACAGAACTGGGATGAGAATCAATCCAAAAGAATCAATCCCTTCTAGCTGGACCCTCCTAYCCAGCGACCGCTCACAGGAAAACCCCAGCTCAGACCGCTGGACTGGCCTGGTCCACATCGCGCAAGCGCAGCCTGGCCTCTTGGGATCYCTCCCTAAGCTCGCGTGTGCTAGTCGTCGGCGGGAGACTGGGTCTCGCGATGCGTGTGTGCGTGCGTGTGCGTGCGCGGTCCTCCCGAGCTCGCGCACGCCGCCTCTCGCAGTACGGGGCTGTGGCGGCCTCTTCCTCCTGGGTCCGGGGCCGCTCGGTGCGMGGTGCCCGCGGCGGGAGCTGGGCGCCGCTTTTGCCTCGCCGCTGCCGCCACCAACATCAGTGCCTGTCCCTCTGAATCCTTCCCTGCCCCGTGCAGAGTCGGCGGCTGGGGAGAAAGCGACGCCAGTGTGAGGTTCTCAGCCGATGGGCAGCCCCTGGACTCGCTGAGGGGCCGGGCTTCGAGTGGCCGAGGTAGGTGGGCGCGCGGCTTCTCCAGCTGGGGGAGCGGCGGCGGGGCTGCGGCGCCCGCGGGGAACGCGAGGACCGCGCCTGGTAGCTAGTGAGGGGAGCGCTCCGACCCGCGCCTGTCAGGGGCTTTGGCCTGACCCAGAGAGAGCGCAGGACGCGGACGTAGCCTGCCTTCCCGGTGTGGAGCCATCACGGGAGAAATTCCTGCGGCGGGGCGGGGGAGGGCTCACCCTTTCTTTTCTTTGAGAGGTCAAAAACCGCAGTCCTCCCTCCGCCTTTTTAAATAAGAGCCTGTTGGCTTCGAGATTGGCATCTAGACGAAGTGGCCTGGGGACTTCGACGCTTGCAGAACTCAAGAGTGGACAGACAGCAGATTACGAATTTTGATGTTGGGAGGGTACACAGCCTTCTCTTTACTGTGGGCGCCTATCTTCTGCAAACTTGTTATTGCAAATACATTAATAATCGCTTTTGGACACACAACTGGTGATACATTTTCGAACGCCTTATGGATTCTGGCACTGGGGAAAATGCGCCTGAGGGCAAAGGGAGTGGAAAGAAGACAAAGGAGGCCGTTATTTATGTTCTGTCCYGGTATCAAAACTTTCCATGGTAGAGCAGGGTATGTAGCAACTGGCTTTTGTTGGATGGACTTTCAGAGTGATTGAGATGGGGCACAAACGAACACTTTATTTAGATTTATAAAATCGTATGTGGTGATATGTAATTATTAGCCAAATGTTCTTAAGTGTATATGTCTGAGAATTGTGATGTTATTTTTGGAGTAGAGCAGAACTTGGGTTTCTTGAAAGGAAAGGTTTCTTCATCTTTAGAAAGCCCATGAATGCCTTTGAAATTACTAAAAATAGTTACAGTTCTTTATGTTGGCAGTAATAACTGCCACGTTCAAGATAAGGGAAAAGAATTCTTTTACAAAAAAACAGCTCACTGAAAAGAGTTGGAGAGTTAAAAATACACAGTAAAAATCGTCAGGAACATCAAGTTTTAGCTTATCCTTTAAAAATTCGAATTTAGTCATGGTCAAAATATATTGAAGCTCTTAGTTGACCCCCCTACCTTCAGTGAATCATTTTAAAAGATATTCTTTAACCTTTAGAAGTCAACACAGTGGCTTCCATTCACTCCACACTTTTTAAAAATGTAGTAGTCAATCTCAACTTTCTTCAGAATTGTGCATGCATACTTTCAAAGAAAGAATCAAGAATAGTTAGCTGRCAGTCCCTGGAGTGGAAGAAGGGAGAGCAATATGAAATGCAAGGTTAATGCTTATGTATTATGCAGATGCTGCATACAGGCATATATACCTGMATATAAATACATACGATGTTCTGCACACAAGGATCTGATAGTGCTGATTCATGTCTTAATAAGGTTGAAGTCTGAAAATTGGATTGATTTTAGCTAATTCCTTTTTTAGTTAACTATTTACAGGAATAATTGTCATTAAGTTTCTTGTTCCTTAGTTATTGGATAAGCAGAATATAATACTTTTTTTTTTTTTAAAGAGAGAGGGGGAGAGAGAGAGAGAGAGAGAGAATTTTAATATTTATTTTTTAGTTATTGGCGGACACAACATCTTTGTTTGTATGTGGTGCTGAGGATCGAACCCCGGCCGTGCTACTGCTTGTTCCACATCCCCAGCCCGATACTTATTTTTTGACCAGTAGTAGGGAAAGAAAAACAGAAAATTCACACTTCAGAAGTATTCTTTATTCAGTGTGTCATTGTTACCCATTGGAATATACAGCTGTACTCCTGTCCATTTTGTGTCCTAGTACTTAGAATACTGTCTTGCATGGAGTTGTCCCTCTATAAATGTGATCTATGTCAAAAGCAAAATAACACGATACAAACTGAAGACATAAATTCCTGGAGAAGATTAAAGGAATCAGAAATGTGTGCTTTTTTTGTTTTTTAWTTGTACATCTGAGTTTTTATCTTATTTTTTTCTCAGTGTAGTTTGGTATCTGAGTAAAGGATATGTGGCATCATTTTTCTTCTAAAAGCCTAACATAATATAAGCTGAGACTATATATCCTGAGTGCTGGCAGATTGTGAATGTTGTCATATATTAAGATAAAATGAGGTAAAGGAAGTAAGGTCCAGAGGGAAAGTTTCTAACAGGATGATTTCTGGTTTTGGGGGGGATGGTAATTGTTTTCATTTCCTTTATTTATTTATTTTTTTTACAGAGCCGGAGATCAAACCCAGGGCCTCACCCATGCTGTGCAAGCACTCTGCCATTGAACTATACCCTAAGCCCAATTTTCAAATAATAAAGTTGAAAAGGGGTTTACTTTTCTTCTGATAGTCCTTTCACAGGTCTGTGGGTTTCTCCTTGTATTTGCATATGATCTCTAGTCTAACTTTATGGGCAAAAAACGGTTATTTTGATTCCTATTTAATTCTTGTATCTATTTCTCAATTAGTGTATAAGTTGAGGAATGTGTGTAGTCCTTTTTTTCCCATTTGGAAGGGAAATCTATCTGTTTTTATATGTTACCAACAGAAAGGTTTGTGGATATTTGTCCTGCAAGTGGCTAAAGAGATGAATTAAAAAATAGGAATATTTTAAGTTGAGTCTTATGATATCATTGTAGTATAGCTGAGTGATTCTTGTGGTGGGGAATGATTTTGCCCTCCAGGGAACATTTGACAATATCTGGAGAAATTTTTGGTTGTCACAAATTTGGGGAGTGGGGAGAAAGGAAGGTGTTGCTACTGACATCTAGTGGGTGTAGACCAGGGATGCTTTTTAACATCTTACAGTGCACAGGACAGACCCCACAACAATTTTCTTACTCAAATGAGTGTTGCTATTGAAAAACCTGCATACAAATACATATGATTTCTGTACTGTAAATTGTTTGTTCAGAATTCGGATCATCTAAATTCCTATTTGACTAAACCATTTCCCTATGTGTGACCCTGGCAGGTTATTTAAAGTCTTTGCCTGTTTCTGTAATGTAAGTTTCTCATARGCATGTCCTGAGAATTAAATCACATAATGTGCAAAGTGCCAAGTTTACTGCTTGGCACATATCAAATGCTCAAAAACTAACTTTAGGTAAATGTATGTTTGGAACTTATTTTTAAGATCTCTCATTTCTTACCTAATATTATAATTGGAGCTGGTAATGTGATATTTAATAAGTAATTCTCCTTATATCTTTGGGAAGTGAGTGAAAAAAGTATTCTTTTTAGTGATTGTGTTTGGGCCAGTCTTGTTTTATATTCCCAGGCTTATAAAGCTCTTGCCATAACAAGTAGCTTCTCATTTTAAATATTTTTCCTTCATACTTAAAACGTTAAGCCAGTTGTCCAACAGTTCTATATCTATTGATTCTCAGCAAGCATTTAGTAATCCAACAGTTCAATTCTGATTTKATTCTCAATTCCTTTTGCCTTTATAAACTACACTAAGTTTACAGTGAAATCAGTGGCAGTGACTCAGGAGGTTGAGGTAGGAGGATCACAAGTTCAAAGCCAGTCTGTGCAACTTASTGAGACCTTGTCTCATAATATAAAAAGGACTGGAGATGTAGCTCAGTGATAAAGTTCCYTTGGGTTCAATCTCCAATATAAAATAAATAGGTAAATAAAATAAAAATTAAAAGGGCTGAGGATGTAGCTCAATGGTAGAACAYCCCTGGATTTAKTATACTACAAATCATCATTGTCATTACAATAAAATTTTAAAAATGAGTTTATAGTGGTTTTGGCTCACTGTTTATGACCTCTGGTAGTAACTATTTTCATAACTGAGGTGTTGATGCAGTTATACCCATATGAAGGGTGCAGGCAAACATTTAACAACTTGAGACTGGACCTTAATGTACATTTTGACTTTTTTCCTAAATCCAAATTAGAATCCATATCCTTATCTTTCTTRTCTGTTGCAATGAAATACCACAGTCTGTAAGGCTATGGCTATTTATGGCTGGCTTGTCATRGGGTGGTATTAATACTTTTTTTCTTCTTTTTTAAATAGTACCTGGGATTGAACCCAGGGGTGCTTAACTACTGAGCCATATCCCCAGTCCTTTATATTTTTTATTTTGAGACAGGGTCTCACCAAGTTGCTTAGCGTCTTGAAAAGTTGCTGGGGCTGGACACAATATCTTTATTTTATTTTTATGTGGTGCTGAGGATCAAACCCAGGGCCTCACGCATGCCAGGCCAGCGCGCTACCACTTGAGCCACATCCCCAACCCAACAGAGATATGAAAAATTGTGATACATATGTGTATTAAGAATTATAATGCAAACAAAAAAAGTACATGTATAATGGCATAAATTGGCGTGAACATACTTTATATACAGAGATAGAAAAATTGTGCTCTATATGTGTAATAAGGATTGTAAAGCATTCCACTGTTGTCGTGTATGAAAAAAAAGTTGCTGGGGCTGGCTTTGAATTTGTGATCCTTCTGCCTCAGCCTCCAGAGTCACTAGAATTACATGCGTTGTATGTGACTTAATACATTCCTTTAAAAAAAAAAATGTTGTCCATGGATTGATTGATTGATTGATAGATATGCAGTGCTGAGGATTGAACCCAGGGTCTCAAACATGCCAGGCAAGCGCTTTACCACTGAGCCACAACTCCAGGACCAATACATGTTTAATATAGAGAAAGAAATCACATGGATGTCCTCATAGTTAGAGACTTTAAACTATTCAGGGCTCCTGAAAGGAAAGAAGATCCTCACAACACTTATCATCAAGGAAGAAAGCAGTGTTGCACATTGATGATTTTGTCTTCAAAATAGGAGGGTTTTTTTTTTTTGTTTTGTTTTTTTTAATGGTTGTTAACCATGTTTTTGTAGTATAAATCTGTGTGTGTGTGTGTGTGTGTGTATTATAAACATATATAAAATGTTCACTCATTTTACCTAATGGGAACCTTATTTTCCCTTTTGTGTTGGTACTGCCTTCTGTTTGGCTAGAAGATGTTTGAAGGGAGTATGTACCATGGGCCAAGAGATTATGTTCTTTGCTTGGCACATTCTGTCCTTTGTAAAGTGTAGCATACACTCAGGGTTCTGTATAAATAATAAATTACAATAATGATGGAGTCTCTCTTGTGGAAACTGTGGTCAGGTTAGAAGTATACATGTTAGGAATATAATAAAAGGCCAAAGGGAGCCATTCTAAGAAAGTTAGGCGGGGCTGGGGATGTGGCTCAAGCGGTGGCGCGCTCGCCTGGCATGCCCGGGTTCGATCCTCAGCACCACATACAAACAAAGATGCTGTACCCGCCGATTACTAAATAATAAATATTAAAAAAAAAAAAAGCAAAGTGAAAAAAAAGAATCAGATTAATGAACAGTTCTTGGCATTATTATTCTTTTGGGGTTTAATAATCTAAAAGAAAAAAGCCTACAAAATGTAACATTTGTTTTCTGCTTACACTAGCTCCTAATCAGTGGATATCATGATTACTAAATTAGTATTATAATTGAGTTATCTTATATGACATTTGTCCTACCCRTGATTAAGTTGAGAAAAACAAGGATCTTTGAATCTTATGTGTTTGTTTATAAGTGGTCTAGAGTCCTGCCTGTCGGCCTAATTTTAGGTAGTCTACATAGTTGTTGGAAGACAGACTATTTTCCCACTGAATGCTGTCTGTCAGATATGTATTTGTGTATGTGTATTTATGCATATTTGTCTCTTATTTTTGGTAGAAAATGATGCATCCAGTTGCCAGCAGTAATCCAGCGTTCTGTGGGCCTGGCAAGCCTTCCTGCCTCAATGAAGATGCCATGAGAGCTGCTGATCARTTTGACATATATTCCTCCCAGCAAAGCAAATACAGCCACACTGTCAGCCACAAACCAATGGTTTGTCAGAGGCAAGACCCTTTAAATGAAACACACTTGCAGCCTACAAGTGGCAGAAGCATAGAGATAAAAGATGAACTAAAGAAAAAGAAAAATCTTAACCGATCTGGTAAGCGTGGCCGGCCTTCAGGAACCACCAAATCAGCAGGATACCGGACCAGCACAGGCAGACCCCTGGGAACTACCAAAGCRGCTGGATTTAAGACAAGTCCAGGCAGACCTTTGGGTACAACTAAAGCTGCGGGATACAAAGTCAGCCCAGGGAGACCTCCAGGTAGCATTAAAGCTCTATCCCGTCTTGCCGATCTTGGTTATGGCTGTGGCACTGCTGCTTTTCCTTATCCAATGATGCATGGCAGAGCAGTTCATGGGGTAGAGGAAACCAGCAGCGAAGTCAAGCCACCCAATGAATGAATGAGGCAGGAGAGGAGGGCCACGTTTAGGAGATTGTGAATAATCCCAAAGCTTCATGGTTTTATTTTGTCATATAATTTTATATTCTGGACTTTCTAAATTTCTTTTTCTGTTGGATTTTTTCCCCCTGCTTTTGCTCAGAAGCTGCCATATGCTGGCTGACAGATCCATTCAGGGCATAGCAGTGGCACCGTATTTGTACATAGGTTTAAGCATAACACCTAATCATTTTTGTCTTTCTTTTAGGGTTATGATTATGTCTTCTGTTTTATTACTACTTTTGGGCCATTCTAATAGATGCTTTATATGCTAAACAACTGAAACCATTATATACCTATATTAGTTTGTGAAGTAAGCCTACAATATAATAAAGATAGTATATAAGGTATTTTAACTGGTGGAGCAAAAAAAGCAAACTAATAATTCAGGATTACTTGAGGTAATGGCTGTGTGAGTTTTTGTAACATTTTCATGAGAGTACACAGCTGTTTGTATGCTTTGGAATTTACATAGATTTCAGATGTTAAAAACTTATTTTTAATGTTCTGAGTTTAAGCAGCTTATTTATTGATCTACATGGCATTAATTGATTTAACCATTATTCCTAAAAGAATTCTTTAGTGTTTGCCTCTTAGCAGTGATAGGTTATGTATTTTTAATTGCCTAAGAGCATATATACCAAACACTACAAACAATTCATATTTACAAAAAAATTTAAACTATTTTATAAAAACTACACATTACATTTTTGGTGAAATACAATGCATTCTGAGAATAGCATTTTTAATATAATAGAAAAAAACTTTCTTAAGGTCTGCATGTAGTTATAGTCCCTATATTTTGCTTTTCATATACTTGGTGGATTTTAAAGTATTATGTTTAAAAATGTATTAGTAGTGCTCATTTCTTCGGAATTTTCTTAGTTTTCCTGAGAAGTTGTCCCATTGCATAGCACTTACTATGTTTTCAGGTTTATATTTACCAAAGGGCACAATTTGAGTGGTAGACTGTAAAATGGTATTAACAGAATGAAGTTTCCTGACTGTCAGAACCCAAATATTAAGAAATATAGAAATCCATCTATGCATGAAACATGTAAAAGAAAATTGTTGCTTAGTCTAATTAAAAATATTATTATGGCTCTAGTGAGACCACTTTCTCCAAAAGGATTCCCCCCCTGCCCCAAATAATGTTTGCTTAAAGCAAAGTAGAAAAGAGGAAGAAAGTGTTGGGCAAAATGTACCATTGAGGTAGAGGGAAATCTCCCCTCCCTTCTTTCTGAAAGTAATGTTCCTTATGAATATGCATTTTATTCATCATGAGTTTGTTCTAAAATAATTTGCAAACTTCAGATTTGAAAAAATTCCACTGAATTTAAAGATACAATGTTTGTACTTCCAATTTTAAATGCCTTTGAGATTAAAATGTAGATTTGCAGGACCCAGAAACTTAAAATAATTAAAAACTTAAAAGGGCACATAATGTGTTGGTTGGGCTTGCTCTCAGTTAATGCAAACTGATTGCAAATGGATGTCATGTTTCATACCTTTTTTATCAGGAAAAAAGCAGCAAGCCTTCAGGTGTTCCAGTGATGCCTGACACAATGAGCTGGACTTTATGCTGCTCTTTACAGTAAGAGGTGTTGCATTTTTTGTGGGGACTTTGTGCACTGGCGTCTAAGACAGTGACCTCAACAATATTAGCTTTGCACAAACCATAGCAAACAATGTTGGATGACTACATAATTAATTGTAACATTCTGGCAGCTAAATTGCTACAAAAGTTTCTTCTTGCAGAAGCTTAGAATATAAAACTTTGAATAATTTACTCAGAACAGTATAACTTCTGACACACACAAATGCTTGCATCTTTATTTATGTGTTCATCTATCCAGTTCTCTTCACTTAGCTGTTTCTCAAGATGATGTTCAGCGGTGGCTGCTTAGAAATACTTTCAAGCTAGTTCCTGAAGACAGTTTTTTTAATGTACACCATTGTCAAGGATTTGGTTGCATGTTAAGTCCATTAGACATTGCCCTTTCAGTTTCTTTTCATCCCTGATTTTGTTAAACATGYTCTTCCTTTTATCCCCTGCCTTTTCCTACATTCATTCCCTCTCACCCCAGCACATCTACTCAGTGGTGCTGTGCTGTGTGTCAGAAGATAAAGCAGGTGTATTATTGTATAATGAATTTTGTATACATGTTTCTGAAATGGTGAAATCAGCTAAAGGAGGTATGTTTATAATAGTGTTTATTATCAGGAGCTATGTCCCAGGAAAAAAGGGGGACAAATGGCTACAGTTGTGAATGGATAACATCTTTTAGAAAGCCAAGTTTACTGTTCATGTGAACAGTTACCTGGAATATTAGATCTATRTGCTGGAGAACATCTCCTGATTCCACTTACTTTTCTCCTCGTGAACAGTTCACTGGTGCCATGCTGAAGAGAAAGACATATAAGTGATAACATGAATGAAGTCTTAAAATATAAAATATTTTTACTTCTATATAATCTAAAGACTACATCGTGCATCTTTTGTAACACTGTCTCTTGTCATGATAAACACTGAAATAGCATGTTAAACAGTTGCCGATACTTTTAATATAATCAGTTGGGGAAAACTGGCCTTTCCCCCCACTGTATGATTGTTCCTTCAAAGGTAAATTGCTAATTTTATACTGTGTAATTCTATTCTTCACAAAATAGGTTTCACTATTCTATGTTAAACTATTGGTCAGAAAATGATCTGCTTTTCAAGTAAGTTTGCTTTACTTTTTTCTTTAAAAAACATTTTAACACGTCTTATTTACTATTGTTATTAATAAGCTAACACAGATAAAATTTTCATTTTTTCACAGATGAAACCTTGCATAACTAATCTTTAGTATGGGATGATTTTGATACTATGTGGGGGTTTTGCACTGGATATTAAAAATATTGGCACAATGTATTGGAAGAAAATTAGTATCTTGTTTGATTTTCAATATTTGGGGACATTTTTAAAATCAGTGTTTCAATTAGACTATAAAAATTCTGTTTATTTACATTTTAAAGAAACATCTATCAAACTGTAAATTTACATATATTTTCATGAAATAAGAATAAAGTTTCTTTGAGTTAACAAGAGAAAAGAAGTCTGGATCCGTTAGGTTAAGGGTAATTTGTCCAGTGTAAGAGTAACCACAGTGTATGAGCTAAAAAAAAAAAAAAGTAAATAATAAACTTCTTTATATTCTGTGAAGCTTTAAAAGAATAATTCAGGGGATACTGATTATAACTGCTACTCTGTCATTGTTCCCATATGCAGTGAAATTTTATGATCCCTTTATAAATGTGTTTATAAAAGTGTTCACAATAGTTCAAAATATTTTTTTCCTTGGACAAAATAATTTCATGCTATTATGTTTTTGTTTTTATTATAGCTTAAATATTTACTCTTAAACTCTAGAATATATCTAAATCTTTTCTTTGGTTTTCCCTCTTCTTTGAAGTACATAAATCTGTCCCCTCACATATAATGTATTTGATTTTTGGGAAATTTAATGCTATAGTAAATCCAGTGTGTGATTTAAAGTAATCAGACCACTTTGATTCTTTAAGTTTTTATAATTTCCTTTCCCACATAATTATGGAGAAAATAATTACCAATTACCTGATAATAAGCACGCTGTCCTCTGCTGTAAAAAGTCTGAATAGATACTGTGTATGTTTTTATGTCCATGAACTTGAGCTACTCGTGTGCAATTATGTGTATGGGAATGGAGTAGTGTTCATGATTTGTATCTACATCATCATATGGATGTATATTTATTAATAAAGTCATTACTTTAAAACCAACTATGTGTTGACTACTTTTATTGTTTTTAGCATAGTACCTTTTCATGTAGAGTAATAATAAATAGTATACCTTTTTCATGATTGTGGATAGTGTATTTTTTTTTAATTTCACATTCTGAAATCTACCCCTCTAAACATTTTGTTTTTCTTAAAATGGTTATATATTTGTAATTTTAAATCCTTGAAAGTATGTTTACTTGTCTTTCCATTTTTCTTCCAATTATTAAGATACATCAGGCTAATATTCTAAGGCTTATATTTAAATCTAAACATTATCKATCCCTTTGGTTTAAAAAAATTAAGGCTGGGCTTGGTGGCACATACCTATAATCCCATTGACTTGGGAGTCTGAGGCAAGGTGATCGATCGCAAGTTCAAAACCAGCCTCTGCAAGTTAGGACCTCCCTAAGCAATTCAGCGATACCTGTCTGTAAAGAAAATATTTTAAAAAATGGGCTGGGGATGTGGCTCAATGGTTAAGCCCCTCTGGGTTTAATCCCCCCCAACCAGATATTAAACATGGCTCATTGTATTCTAATTTTTTTTTTAGAGAATTTTTTAATATTTATTTTTTAGTTTTCGGTGGGCACAACATCTTTTTTTGTATGTGGTGCTGAGGATCGAACCCGGGCCGCACGCATGCCAGGCGAGCGCGMTACCGCTTGAGCCACATCCCCAGCCCAGTATTCTAATTTTTTATGTTAACTTTAAAGAGACCAGCATGGGCATCTTTCATATTGTCAAATATCTGAGATATTAAAACTATGCTTTCCTTTCATTATATGAACGTATATTTTTGTTTTTCCCATTTTCCCTGAAGCCCGCAGATCATCTAGAACAAAAGTTGGCAAACTACATCCCCCTGTCTGTTTTTGTAAATAGAGTTTTACTGAATATTTGTTACTTTTTTATTATTACTTTTCATTTTTTTTGTTTTTGTTTTTATGTGGTGTTGAGGATCAAACTCAGTGCCTCACATGTGTGAGGCTAGTGCTTTAGCTCTGAGCCCCTGCCCCAGTCCCAGCCCCAGCCCTGATGTTTGTTACGTGTTTACTGATCATCTGTGGCTACTTTTGCATTACAGTAGTGGAGTTAAGTTGTGACATAAAATCTGCAAAGCTTAAAATATTTACTATCTGTTCCTTTTCTTCATGAAAAAAATCCTTTACGTAGAAAGATAAGTTGAAATAGAAAAGACCAAATAAAATTTGAAGTTGAATTTCAAAAACCTRCGAAAGAATTGATGGTGCATSCCTGTAATCCAAGCTACCCCAAAGGCTAAGACTGAAGGATCATACATAATCTTTCAAACATMATATCTTAGCAACACAGTAGACTGTAGAATGCTGGTTATTTATTGTCATGATCAAGCACGTGACTGGGAGCTGCATCTGGCTGGCTGCCACTGCCCAGCATCACAAGAGAGTATCATACCCTATCACTAGTCTGGGAAAAGATAAAAATTCAAAGTATAGTTTCTATTCAGTGCATTTAAGTTGACCCTTCATAGATGGTGACTGTATACAAGACAACGGCATCTGTGAGTGATGACAGTTTTACTTCTTTCTAAACTTTGCAATTTTAATTGCCTTTTATTCCCTCTTGCACTTGCTATAATCATCAATACAATGTTGAATAGAAATGGTGAAAGTGGATACCACTGCCATTTTCCTGATGTGAGAGGGAAAATGTTCACTCTTAACATTATTAAGCATTATTGTGTTAGCTGTACGTTTATGGTAGATGTCTTCTAACAGATTGAGGAAGTTTTATTTATCTGTTTTTGGTATGGGGGAGGTTGTTGAACCCAGGGGCCTTAACTGAGCCATGCCCTTTTTATATTCTATTTAGATACTGGGTCCTGCTAAGTTGCTGAGGCTGTCTTTGAACTCTTGATCCTCCTGCCTCAGCTTCCTGAGCCACTGGGATTACAGGCATGCCCCACCATGCCTGGCCCCTTTTAAGTTTTTAGAGTATCATGAATGCATGTTGGATTTTGTAAAATGCTTTTTCTGCTTCTGTGCATTATATCATTCATTTTGTGGTGTTCTACAAATGTGTATTCTACAGCTATGGTGTATTAAATTAGTTGATGTTTGGATATTAATCCAGTCTTATATTTCTTTTTTTTTTTTTTTAATATTTTTTAAATTGTTGATGGGCCTTTATTTTATTTATACGTGGTGCTGAGATTCGAACCCAGGGCCTCACACATGCCAGGCAAGCACTCTACCACTGAGCCACGATCCCAGCCCCGAGTCTTATATTTCTAATATATATGTGGCATAAAATTATTTTTACATATGTTGCTGAATTTGGTTGGTTGTTTTCTTTATTTTTCCTTCTTTGGTTTATTGTTGTTTTTTGTAACACCCAGGGCCTCATGTATGCTGGGCAAGCACTCTACCATTGAGTTACACCCCAATCTGATTTGATAATATTTTCTTAGGGTATTTTGTCACATAAATATTTGAAYCAGGATCCAAACATTGGTCCCAAATTATATTTAGTTGATATGTCTCTTAAGTCTCTTTTATGGATTCCATCTCTTTTTTTTCCCTCCTCTTATTTATAGTTGATGAAATTGGGTAATTGTCTCCCAAATTCTGGATTTTGCTGATTGCAGTATTTATTTCTCTAACTTCTATAGTTCTGAAAACCTGTAGAGAGATCTAGAGATGTGATGAGATTCCAATTTTATTTTTTGTCGTCGTTGTTTTTGTTTTTTGGTACTGGGGATGGAATCCAGGGATGCTCTACCACTGAGCTATATCCCCAGCCCAGTTTATGGTTTGAGATAGAGTCTTAGCTAAGTTGCTGAGGCTGGCCTCAAACTTGCAATCCTCCTGACACAGCTTCCACATTGCTGGGATTACAGGTGTGCTCCATTGTGCCCAGCTTCAATTTGATAATTATTGAGCAAGGGTTTTTCTTAGGTGATATTATATACTTCTGTTGCATCATGTTAGGTTGCCCATAATAACTGGTTGTCTCTTACTGTGATATTAAAATTGATCCRTGAGTCTAGGTATTCTTAGCCTTGTCCATGCATTTAAAAATTCTTCATCTTTTTCCTTAATAATTTTAGTAGCCATTGGTGATCTAGGCTTAGCTCCAKTCTTTCAATTATTAAGATACATCAGGCTAATATTCTAAGGCTTTAATTTAATTTCTAACTTTTTAAAGATTTTTTAATTTTAAAAAAGTTAGAAAATAACTTTTAAAAATTATTATTAGTTTTAGAATTATCTGCAAACTTTAGCAATGTATTGATTTAAAGAAAAATTTTTATTCTAATTAGTTATACATGACAGAAAATGACTTTAAATTCTATTGTTTCCTTAATAGTTAGCTCAAATACTTCTATATAAAAAGTTTTCCCTTGATCAAATATTTGGTATCCTGAAGTACAGTTTGTGCAGGAAAGACAGGAAAATGCCTGATTCTCTTTACCTACCAGTTTTCAGAATAATGAATTGGTTCTTCAGTATCTTCCAAAAGTGATTAAAAGTTTTTTGTTTGTATGTGGTGCTGAGGATCGAACCCGGGCCGAACGCATGCCAGGCGAGCACGCTACTGCTTGAGCCACACCCCCAGCCCTTAAAAGTTTTAAATTTTAGTATGGACTCACATTTGTARTATGTAGTGCATTTCAGTTAATACTGAGATTTATCCATTTTGATGTTCAAATTGTCCCATCTTTGGCTAGTATGAGCTGGTTTGATTCCTTGGTCAGATTGACATGACCCTCCTATTCTTTGATAGCATCCTTGCATTTTGGTTTGACAAGATGTCCCAACTAACAAAATGGTCTTTTAGATAGCAAGACAATCTTGAACATTTTTTTTGAACTTTAGGATGTGTGATTTTTAGAATAATTTTGTAGAATTGCTATTTTACAAAGTATTTATAAACTGAAAGAAACCTTAACAATAACATTATTATGTTTTTAAATTTTCTTGTAAATACAGGATTTTTTTTTTTTTTGTACCAGGGATTGAACCCAGGGATGCTTAATCACTAAGCCACATCCCCAGCCTTTTTAATACTAATAAGCCACATCCCCCAGCCTTTTTAATATCAAATAAAATATTTTATTTAGTATTAAAAAGGCTGGTRATATGGCTTAGTGGATCTTGCTGAGTTGTTTAGGGCCTTAGCCTCGCAAGCCACTGGGATTACAGGTGTGCGCTGCCATGCCTGGCTTTCACAAAGGGTCTTGCCAAGC